CTTAATGTGGTTCTGTGGCGGTTTCAAAGAGGCCGTTGGTTCCCGGCATGTAATGCTGGTGTGCAGATGTCGTCCTAGACTTCTTAAGTAGCTTAACCAGCAAGACGCCCTTGATTTACCAGTTTCACTGCTGAAAACCAGGAATAACGAGCCTGGAAATACAGTCCGCTGTCAATCCTCCCCACTTTTGCAAAATGAAGTGCTGAGATAATTGAAACTCCCGGCTCGTTTTAGTCACGGTGTCCTCTCAGGCCCTGCATCTTCAAGCCCAGCTCTCCACACCATCTGTCTACATGGGGAAGTGTCTCAGCAGAGCCCAACTCACATCGTCAGTGTTCTCCAAAGAAGCTTAGTCATCTCTGATAGAACTAATAGAGTGGATTTTAACTGGCTTTCTAGTGGAGCTTTAATAGAGGATTTTATAAAATGCTAGTTTGAAAGTGGGTTTTTATTATATTATATTAAATTCTATTATATGGTATTACAGTGTACATTTTTCATGGTCATATTCAGTTTTGATAGACATGACAGCAAAGGCATTTGCTTGAAGGAGTAAAAATTTGAATATATTAATGTTATTCTAAACCTATTTTCTTTTCTTCTGTGGAACACAGTGTTGATTTTGGGTGATGTAGTCTTGCAAGCTATTTTCTTATATGCTATCATATCCATCTTATCTGGAAAAAAAAAAGAAAAAAAGCCTGATTTGGGTCCAGGCTGTGACCTGAGTTGGTTGAATCTGAGTACAAACAGAGACCTGTTAAGTCCAAGTCTCAAGACCCAAGTCCCATAGGTTGTTGTATGATACAACAAGTTTGAATGTGCGGAAGTGCAAATAGTATTTGAGAGCTACAAAGACACGGTTTTTCAGTAAACAATGGGTTACCTTTATGTATTTTCCTCGCATAAAGCTTTTATAATATGCGAACCACTTTTATGGTGTATTTTTGGTCTCCTGGTCACTACACTCTTTCACTGGGATTAAAGTAAAAGTAGGAGTGATGTAGTCGAAACCAGTTTATTTGTTTTTAAGTTCAGGCCTAGATTTGAGTAGGTTGAGTCTGAGTAAAAACAGGGACCTGAAGAAGGTTCAAGTCCAAGTCTAGACAGAGTCCAAAGGCCAAAACCATGAAGATATGCTCTCAGACTTGAGATGGACTCCCAAATACTACAACACTGCCATATGTTCTTGTGTGTTGCACCATGTTCGATTATCTGTAAGTGCAAATGGGATTTGACATCTATAAGACCAGGTTTTCAGTAAATAATGGTTTAACTTTATGTATTTTCCTCAGTCAAAGCTATCATAAAACTTAAAATATAGTGCACAAAATATATGAAGGGACCTGAAGAATGTCAAGTCCAAGTCTAGACTGAGTCAGAATGCTCCAGAGTCCATGACAAGACTGACTCCAGACGGACTCAAATGCCACAACAGTGCAAATGGGATTTGAGAGCTACAAAAGGCCAGGTTTTTCAGTAAATAATTGTTTAACTTAATGTATTTTCTTCACACAGATCTTTTAGAAAACTTAAAATATAGTGCACTAGATATATGGGCCACTTTTATGGTGCATTTTTGGAGCTTGAGGACTCCTGGTCGCTACACACTTGGGATTAAAGTAGTGAGTGTTGTAGTTGAAACTGGTTCATTTGTGTCCGAGTCCAGGCCGAGACCTAAGTAGGCTGAGTCTGAGTTAAAACAGAGACCTGAAAAGGGTCAAGTCTGAGTCTAGTCTGAGCCAAATTCTGAGTCCATGAGAAGACCAAGACCATGAAGATATAGTCTCGGACTGAAGATGGACTCAACACTGGCATATGTTCTTGTGTGATGCACCGAGTTTGGCTATGCAGAGTGCAAATGGGGTTTGAGAGCTAGAAGCTTTTTCAGTAAATAATGGTTCAACCCTCTGTATTTTCCTCACACAAAGCTATCGGGAGACTTAAAATATAGTGCACTAGATGTAAAGGCTACAATTATGGTGCATTTTTGGAGCTTGTGCATTCTTTAGAATTTCTCTATTTGTGTTCAACATTCTTAAAAGTAAAATATAATTCTTGAAAGTAACACTGAAATTGTCACTTCTAGAGTAGGACCAAGTTTTGTGGCCCATCCATTTTTCAACTTTTAGTTTTAATTTTAAGACAAACTGTCTGCTAATCATACACAGTTGGTATTTAGCTCACAGTCAAAGCTAATTCAGTGTCACTTTAAGATGAAATATAGATGAATATGTTGTGTCCTGATGCCAGCTATGACCATAAATGACCTTGGGAAAGTGGCCAGACACTCTGGGGCTGCTTATGATTCCGGATGAAAGACAGATTGATTGTCTTTGTGCTTTCAGCATTGAAATTCAGCCACTGCATATCTTAAAAGAGCCAAGTCATTGCTAATGCACAGTATCCCTGTCTTTAAAAGACTGACTTGTTGGTCAGGCTCCCCCAAGAGAATGTCTCAATTGAAAAAGGTCACGTGTGTAAAATGAAGGCACTTTCTGCTTATCAGGAATACAAGGCTTGCTCTTTCCACTAAGTAACTGGATTTGAAAATGTAAAAAATAAATAAATAGATAAAAATGCATAAATAAATGTCGGCATCAAGGCGGCTGACAACATCAAATGCACTTGCCGGGGAGGCTTTATTCTTAGGTTCTGGAAGGTTTTCCCATCTCTTAGTTTTGTGCTCAGTTTTCATATTGTGTGTGTGTGTGTTTTGTTTTGTTTGGATCAATGCTTTTTCTAAATGTCACAAGTTCACGTCCTGGAAATTGCTTTTTATCTCGGAGTGCATTTGCAGTGTTATTTTTGCCCAAAGCTTTACCCTTTCCTCTGAGAACAGGAGTTAGCAGGAAAACTGCCGGCTCCATTAATGTGAATTAGAGGTTATCGCGTATATAGACTGTAGATGTACTGTTCGAATCAGAAGGGTCGTCTCACTGTTGTTTAATATTTTTGTCATGGGATGCAAATGCAAAGTCAAAAACGCACTGCTGTGCAACTAAATTGATATTGACCAGCAGTCTTTAAAGCATCCATCATGTAACTAATGATCAATGCTAATTTCCATTCCTGAATTTCTCTATAAGGATGTAGCATTGTGTTGCTATGGCTGCTACGTTTCCCAGCTTGCAGCCCATCTTTGTTACAGCCTGTATTAGAAGTCTCCTTTATAGCAGGAAAGTGTGATAAGGCTTAGCTGATGGTTTGCTCACCTGGAGTGAGAGGGCCTTTCTTTAATTTATGTCATGCAATTGAAAAATTAACCCTCGGTGACTGCTGGGGAAAATGGATAAGATGAGATTCACGTCTTTTATTTTGTCTGTCTATGTTGTTTTTTCTAACACCAAGAAATAAACACTTGTTTGAAGACAGTTTCAGACAACAGAGCCATTTTCTCTGTCAGAGAGGTTTTCTCTTAAAGGAATGTTTTTGTCTGATTTACATCAAGCATTCTGCTGTTTTCCATCTAGATATGGGTCTCTACTCAACAAATGATGGAAAAGCCAAATGGTTAGAGCATTACAGTTTAATAATTGACGTGTGAATCGACATGATCTAAAAATTGGATAAAATTGTATGAATTAAAACAGTATTGTAAAACGAAGGGGCAAAAGCAGAATATGTCTCTGGATGTTTTTAAAAAGAAACATTTTATTATTTGCATCTTGGCAGATATGGTCACTATAAACTGTCATTGTATTTAAAAAAAAATGCAAATGGTTTATTGCATAAGGTTTTTCATTTTTGGGTGAACTATTACTTTAAATACCACTAAAAGATAAAAGTAAAGCATTGCAAGTTTAATAATTAGTGTGTGAATTAGCATGATCTGAATATTGAATATAATTTTATGAATTAAAAAGTATTGTAAAAAGTAAATACTAATAATAGTAATCAGAATATTTTTCTGGATCTTTCAAAGGAACATGAAATATAGCATACAAGTCATTATGTGCTATTTTTATTTAATATTTAATTGTATTTCAGATTTTCCATTATTTAAAAAAAAAAAAACCTTGGCAGATATGGTCACTATAAACCGTCAACTTTCATTTGATTTAACTATTTCTTTAAATGTCCACTAAAAGGTAGATATAAAGATGTAGCGAAAATGATCAAGTTATGAACATTTTCTACAATCCACATGTCTACACAAAGGGACTAAATCTTTAGTTATATCCAGAAAGCAAATGAAGGGACTATGTTTCTGAAATCAAGCGAATACATAAGGGAATTGTACAGTATTAAAGTGTGCCTCATACTGTATGCTATCTATGTATGATATGTTATTTTTCTGCCGTCTCCAAACAATACTGTTTTTACCTTTGTCTTTTCTTCATTCTCTGCGAGATACAAGCTTTTTGTCAGTGTCTTACAGTGATTGGCATGTTTATTCTCTCGACCTGTTTTTTTCTGCGCTACACTCCTGCCGATCTGCAGCATATGAGCCTGCTTGATTACTTGAATTTGTGAAGGTACTTACGACAGCAAAGTTTGATCCTTTCTTTCCTCATGCTTGAGACAGAAATGAAAGACAACAGGATGAAGAGATCCTCTCATAATGTGCTTTTGAGACTACAGCACCATAGAATTACTATTCATATCACTGTCGCTGTGCATGGTCTCAGAAAAACACGTTTTGAGCACTTTGTGTTCTGATATGGGGTTCTAAATTTCGTTTTTCCATTAATAATTGCCATAAAGTATTACATGGTTATTATAACTGAACCAGTGAGAACTATTACAGACTTGATCAACATAAAATCTAATTTACATGAAGACAGTGACAACCTCTACTTCTAAATGATAATTAATCTACTCCGAATGGAACCCAATTCTGAAAGTGTAGATGTTTCTGAAGAAAATGAGAAGTGTATAGCAGTGGTGCATAATGGGTCACAAACCAAAAACGTTTGAGAATCCCTGAGGTATAATGGTATTAAACATGGATGAGGCTGTTGTGAACAGTACTATCTGCTTGTCCTCTTCTGTGACAGGGCTGCGATCTCCCCGAGCAGAGCACAGTTCATGTGGTTCTGCCCCCGTCCACCTCGACCCAGCGCTCTGAGCTGGTCCAGCAGCGCAGGCTGGGCGGCAGGATTGAAAGCTTGACCCGACTCGACCTCAGTGGCTCCCGTCTGACCACCGTGTCTGAAGGCCTGGCTGTCATTCTGGAGACAGATGCGTCCAGACAGGGGAACTCCGTTGGACACACAGGTACAGGGAGTAGGACTGTGTTTGTGTTGTTGTTGTTTTTTGTGTGTGTGTTTGAGTCAGTGTAGATAAAATGTATTTTAAGTCCAGTGGCAGCTGATGCTTTATAAAAGTGAAGAAGCACCAATGTTCCTTCTTAATGGAAGAATGTGTAGCATTTTTTTATAATTAGGTGTCTAAATGCTACTAAAGTTGAAGAAATCAACATAGGCTCATTGCAAAATATGTGCTTCTATCTACATAACAAAAAAATATATATATATACATACAATTCACTGCGGTTTCCAACAGAACACTAGATGCAGTAAAATACCAATGACTTTTCCCACAAATAATGATTGCCGGTGTAGATTATTGGTTATCCTTGTACAAGACTAGGTTATGACCTCAAAACATTTTTATCATAGTGCAAGATTGTTAATCCAATGCATTTTGAAATTTGCATCACATATCACATTGTATCACACATCACTTTTCTCATATGGTAAACTTGCTTGGTAGCACACCTGGTAAAGCATCGAACTTACAATGCAGAGTGCTTGAGTATGAGTCCTGAAAATGTGGCACAACATGCAAGAATCAATGTATATCATTTTGGAGAAATGCCACAACAGGCATGTTTTTTTTCTAATGAGCCTAGGTTGAAAGAACTGTGTATTTGTCGATGTTCAAATGTCTTTTACACACACAAACACACACTGTATGTATATATATGTGTGTGTGTGTATATATATATATATATATATATATTCGCGACCCTGGACCACAAAACCAGTATAAGTAGCATGGGTGTATTTGTAGCAGTAGCCAAAAACACATTGTATGGGTCAAAATTATCGTTTTCTTTTATGCCAAAAATCATTAGGATATTAAGTAAAGATCATGTTCCATGAAGATATTTTGTAAATTTCCTCCCGTAAATATATAAAAACTTAATTTTAGATTAGTAATATGCATTGCTAAGATCTTCATTTGGACAACTTTAAAGGTGATTTTCTCAATATTTAGATTTTTTTGCACCCTCAGATTCCAGATATTCAAATAGTTGTACCTCGGCCAAATATTGTCCTCTCGTAACAAACCATACATCAATGAAAAGCTTTATTCAGCTTTCAGATGATGTATAAATCTCAATTTCACAAAATTGACCCTTATGACTGGTTTTGTGGTCCAGGGTCACATAAATACATTAGTTTGTGCACCACTAAGGCTTTGGTGACCTCCTTTTTAACAGTAATACGCAGCTCTCAGAGTGAATGTTTTTGTAAGCGCACAGGTTGGTGAAGTGGATGCTGTCATTTGCCACAATGGCGGTGCTTTTACAAGCTGTCCTCTGCCCGCCCTTCCTTTTTCAACCTCGCTCTGGCTAGCAGCACACTCGGCTACTTAGTCCAATCACGCCACCTCTTTTATCCAGCCCTTCTTCCTGTAAAAGCATTAGCATAATGGAGGAATCCTGCAGAAATCATAAATAATAGGGTGCCTGTCTTATAAAACCCACTCCGCTCGATTTATTGTCAGACGTGTCAAGGTATCTTGTACCTCCTCGGTGCCCCATGCTTTTAGCTCTAATGAGAATGCTGCTCCCAGGTGTGTGCATGAGTGATTTAAACTAGGATGGGACAGACTGATAGGACAAGTCCTCTCTAAACTAAATCATTTGCCAGGAAGATGTCTGGATCGTCCTTTCTGGCTAATTGGATTGTGAGCTCTTTGTCCTGGGACTGTGGCGGCTTGTTGAAACACTGCTGCACCTTGTTGTTATCCTCTATTTAGTGCTCTAACCAACACACTTATGTCCCGCTCAAAACACTCCACAGCTGTAAACTAAAGGAGGATGAGAAGGAAGGGAAACGAAATAAAAGCAAACAAATGTCAGCTGAAATTCAGTTGCTCAGTTGGACCCATCCATGCATTGTTAAATAAAGGAATGCACTGGATATACTTGAAGTGTAATTTCTGGTACCAAACAGAATTAAAAGTGATGTTTTTTTTTTAAATGGTTTCCCAAACAATCATATTGTCTACTGTTGTTTGGACAAACAGGTAATCTCGCAATCTTTTTTTTTTTTTTTTGCAATCAATTGTCCAATGGTGGGTGAGTTAAAATTAAATATTTGGGTCAGTTAACATTTACCAGCTATAGATATTTCTTAGCAAGAAACTGTGTTTTCATTATTTATATTAAAATGTGTATTTTTGTCCCTGTGCATCTTTTCTTGCGTGTTAGTGACAAATAGTGCAGGTCATGTGTTACTCACAAATGAGACAGTCTCCATCTCTCATAAAACGCCACCTGTTAGAAAATATGAAGACGCATAGTGAGTTTGACCCTCATATTTTCATTTTTGGTAGCTGAATGTGAGGAATATTTCACATGTGTTACCACAATTAATCACTGAAGTAAAACTTAGAACATTTGGACATTAATTCATTTCAGTAGACAGTATTTGGATTTAAATCTCTCACATTGTTCACTGTATACCAAAGGTTAGTGATGTAAACCATGTGTTATGTTGCTGATCTTAATAAAGTTGCTGACCAGCTGATAATAATGTGACATTTTATATGCTTTAGGATGTCAAACAACAAATTAAATACTGTGTTCTGGGATAGGAGTAACTGTGATAGGACAAAGTCTTTTAACACTGAGAAAAAAAAATCACATTTACTGTTATTGCATGCTTTTTGTGATGTTTATGGTTGTTCTTACAGAAGCAAAAGCCCACAGCAGTTTCTATGTGTTCTGTAAGACGGTCTGCAAGGCCATTCAGCCTGGAAAACTACGTGTTCGGTGCAGAGACTGCAAACAAGGCACTCTTACTCTCAGCAGGGTATGTATATGTACAACACATACAGTATATGAAGAGTTTGGTTCCAAAACGCAATAAACGCCATTTTTAAAAACACTGAGTTCCCGCCAAAATCAGTATTGTATCTGGTCGGTATTTAAAAGTCAATTTTTTATTTTATGCAAAATTCGATATCCGCCATGTTATTCTGTCATGTTTTCTCCCTATCTTTCCAAACCGTGACAAACGGTTTCAAATCGATTCAAAATCACCTTCGATTATGAACGCGATATTGCGTAGCTTGTCAGTGATCTACGGCTCTGTGTAGTAAATTCAGCTCCATCTGAATATTTATATTTTATTTTATATTACCATATCAGGAAAAAATTTTATTACTAAAACCTGCATATTATTGCTGTTCTTTAGTACACATTCATAAGTGTTTTGAGACAAAAAACAAACAAACAAATAACCAGAAACAAAAAAATAACCAGACACATTTGCTCTGTTGCCCCAAGTCTCATAACTAACTAACGGTGACACTTCTTTGCCTGAAGTAGGAATACAGAACAGCACAAACCCACGTCTCGCTGCCCCCACATGGCTGTCATAAGCCCCATTCCTCCGTAGTTCCGCCCGTGGCCTGTTTTATCTTTCGGTCCGTATGGACTTTCTGTCCCAACGCGTGGGCAGCATTCCCACCTCTCCGCGTTCTGCCGCTGTTTGGCAAGGCTGACTGACATGTCGCTAAGCTGCACCTGCCTTTTCTTTCCGCTCGCGGTGGTCTTCGGCGCTGAGAATCTGTTTGTCCACTGTCTCTGTGCCAGTGCCGCCCCATTCCTGAAACAGGTTCCAGCTCTTCTCATCTAAGTCTCTCCAGAGAACTTTCTCCAAATATGCTGAGGAGAAGAAGATGGCAGAGTTTACGCACTCGCTGTCAGAGCACATCATTTGGACCTTTGGAGATATTGGACTTAGCAGCACTTTCAATCAAATGCATTCATCTCCATCAGCAACTCCTAGCTTAAACATCCAGCTTTGGCTTCTTAAAAGATTTGTGTGCATGATATAGACACTTTTAGGCCAAGATCTTCAAATCCTACATCACTGAATTAGGCCTTTGGGGGGAAAAGCTGCTTGTTATTGCTGTTGCGAGTTTCTTTGCGCTTTGAACATTAATAGAAAATAACCTTGGCTTACATCTCTCCAGAACACAATTATGAGAAATACAGTTTTGACTATATTGCTGGCATTATAAATATCTCAATGTGCCCTAAGGCTTTAATTAGAAGTTTTAATTATAATGTTCAGGTTGTTCCCATTGCAATGAAACCCCCTGCCGCATAGATATTACATTACATTACAGACTTAGCATTTCAGATTTAATATTTGTCATACATTGTGTATCAAGTTGAGCTATTCGGTTGTTTCCCCCTACCTTAAAAGGGTAGTTTGCCCAAAAATTGAAATTATTTAACCATTTACTCGCCTCATATAATTCTAAATTTGAATGTTGTCATTTTTTTATATAACACAAAAGAAGACTTTTTGCAGAAAGTGCACTGTTCTTTTATTAAATGATAATAGCTATTTGTCAAGCTCCAAAAGGAACCAACAATGCCATAAAAGTAGTTCATATGGCTTGTGACGCAAATATCTTTGTGTGATGAGAAGGCTGAAGTATAAAAACGTATTTCACTATTTGCCGAAAATCTTGAGAAGCATAAATACAATTACAGGAAAAAGTATTTTATTCAAAGTCAAAGGCAATAGTGAAGTTAAAAGAATATATTATGAAGCCTCTATAAATTGCAAAAGACAAACAGGACTTTTTTTTTTTTTTCCTCTCTGAATGCCAGGATATTAAATTGCAATATGTCTCTCTTCCATTTTGTTTAGATTTTTTTGCAGTGGCACAGCCCACATAATGATATCTCATGTGAATTATCTGGTAATCATTGGCTGCACTTTGAAAGGTCAGCGGCAAACAGGGTGAACTTTGAGCATCGCATTACAACTCTTCACCTGCTTGCACAATGCCAGGGGTAATGCTGTGCCTTTATGCTTCACTCCACACAGTTCAGTACACTTTGAAACAATGACACAGTTCACAAGGCCTCTAGAGTTGGCATTAATGACTATTTATTACTTAGATGTTAGTAGTATTTTGTACCTTGAGAAGTAATCAATTATTCCAGGCACTTTCCTCAAATAGAGTACAACCTTTTTTTTTTTTTTTTTTTTTTTTTTTTTTTTTTTTACACC